CTTTGTTCACATAAAGGCAAAATAGGAAAAGAAAGCCTGAGGGGTGTGTGTGTAAATGAGATGCTTCAACTCGGAAAACTTTAAAGGGGGAAACTTCTAAACAAGTCCAGTCACCTCAACTTGTAGGCTCTTAACACCAAAACACAGAGCAGCCAAGATTACTGATGAGTGTGCTCTCCGCAAGGATGCTGCTTCCTTTCTTTCCCAAACTTTTTATGTGGTTTTTGTTACATGTTTATAAAGTGTCCAAAAATATTGTGCAAGATTTACCAGAGGTCTGTAGTGAAAATATTTGCAAACTGAAATTTCTATTGCCTATTCATTAAGCTTAGTTTTGAAAGAAGACAGAATATATCCTCACCTCCTCAGGTTTTTTTTCAATTTTCTGCTCTAATCAGTTTCTGCCTTTACAAAGAGATATGCACAAGTGAGTTCAAGAAATAAAGAGAACGCCCTCTGTGAGGACATCAAAACAGAAATTAAATATAATAAAAAATTCTGATTGCGGGCAAATGAACTGACAAAGACAAAATAATCTATAGTAGATAGAGGCAGAAGAGTTTGTTTAATTTCATGTGTTTTGGATTCCACAGAGTCTCCACCAATTTAAAAAAAACCCAAACTTATACAGATGTACAAGTGCATAGTGCTGGAATTATTGTTGGGCACGGAAGGTGAATCTCTATTATATTTAGAGGTAGGATTTAATAAACTAAGGTGTCTGGTATGGATTTGGCATAGTGATGTTCCAGATATGGAGAATAGTCGGGCACAGAGATGTAAAACTAGACCAAAAAGTCTGGTGAACAAAAAAGGGGAGAAAAAAAAGACCATGAAAGAAGGAGAATGGCTATATGGGTGAGAATTGCAGGAAACGCAAAGTTTAAGATCAGAATTAATGAGAAGTAGAGACCAATGTGGAAATACTTGAGAGTGTATTGAAGGGAAGCAGCAAATATAATTTTAAATGCAACTTTCCAGTACAAAGAGCAAAAGAGGCCAAATAGCTTGTAAGGCTGGAGAGCAAAGAGATCAAGCCCAGACTTAAACAAACAAAAGAGAATACTTTTCTCTCAAAGCACATAACTAAATTCAGAATCTTGTTGCCACACGTTACTGTGGAAGCCAAGATGACAAATGTTTTGTAATGGGACTGGACAAGCAGGTGGAATGTAAATAATGCTACAGTTAGGAAAGGTGCAGTGGGACTTCTGGTCTTACACATTGTAGGGGATCTAATGAGGTTGTAACTCAGTCTTTCAGTTGCCTTTATTTGCAAAACATTGCTTGCCCAAGAAAAAGAACTACAAAATTGAGAGGCTGAAGACAAAGGAATATGCCATGCCACTTTTTATTCCTCAGAGATCCTAAATTGCTGGCTCAAATGCTTTCCTAGTTAAAATTTGAGCAATAAGAGCTGCCTTGACCATCCACAGCTGCTGATTCACATTCATTTCCATACTTCTCTCCTAGATAATTGTTGCACAACACATAATAGCTCTGAATATTTCAATTAATTTAATGCCTGGCTGTAGATTGGCATATCAGGATACTTCACCAAGGTGCTCCGTTTCAAACAGGGCTGCAAATTATCAACAGTGCTGTTTGCACTCAGGGGGTTTCTCAACGATGTGGACTCCTGTCACTCACTCCAAGGCGGTGCTGAACCGAGTCTTTGGCAGGGACACCCAGAGGTTCTGAACTGCTCCTCCAAACACAGCAGCTGTGTCCTCAGGTTGATTATGATGGAACACCTCCTTCCTCCACTCCAGCTAAATCACTGCAGTTATTACTGGAGCTCTGCAAGCAGAGTCTATGTTTTTGGGTTGAGCAACACGAGTTTGACAGTTTGCTCTGTTTGCCGGTGATTAATGACTAGTATTTGGACAAAGGTAAACAAAAATTCTTAATAAATTGGAAGAGAGTGAAAATTGCCTGGGGCCCATTACCAAAGAAAGGGTATAATATATCTAGCCAGAATGTGCACTTCTAAAGCATTAAGCTTGCCAATTAGAATACAGAAATGACAACAGCTACAGGCATTAAAGCCTCTGCCTTTGTTACTGCATGAAACAAATGTTTGAGCAAACTACATGTCTTGCCTTTGTGCTTCTGCCTATAAACTCTGACTTTGTACCCACCTTCCCGCTTCACAGAGTACTTTTTTACATTTATTATTAACAATAAATGTTAAGAAAAAGGAAATTAGCAGTCACATTGATTCAGAAAAGCAGCATGAGCATATTTAATAGCCCAAGCCTTTAACCTTATTCAAATAGATTCAATTTCTCTGAAGTCTGGTTTCTTTAATTATACAAAAAAATATAAAAATAACTTTTATGGTGTCAGATACTAATTGTATTGGACAGATTTCCATTCATCTGCTTACAGCAATATTTATTTTCTCTGCCATCAGTTAACATCAAAACAGTATTACATCATCATCACCACTCACAGTGGAAAAAATACTACTCTTCTGATGAAGCTCTTACATCATTAACACACAGAAAGATATAAAAATCTGTTGAAGTGAAAAAAAAAAGGAATAAAATGTATGGAAATCACAGTACATATAAAAAAAGGAAAGCTGTGAATCATGTTGTCCCTCTCTGCCTCTGCAGAGGATACCTTCCACTCATGTCCCCTATCTCCTCACACAAGCTCATGTGGGAAATCTGGCATGTACCTTATCTTAGAAATCTGATATTTAAGGCAGGCACTCATATGATTAATGTGCTCTAACGAAGGAATAGGACAAAAAATTACATCAACACATTAAGCACAGGGGAAGAGATGAGAAATCAAAGGATACTTCCAGATATATTTAGGAAGATAAAAAATACGTCCTCTATTAAATAGAAGGATGCATCTCAGAAAATGATAAAAAGTAGGTTTTCTAGCCCCCAGAGAGAGAGAGGAAAAATATTGTATAATTTTAGGAGGATTATGGTTCACTAGAGACATTCATGAATGTAATGAGCTAAAGAAGGGGTAAGGCTGCTTAAATTTATCCATACAAAGGATTATGTTACACTTGATAAAATAATTGTGTCAGTTTCCTTTTTACTTAAAATTAACCTTACAACTCTGAACCCCAGTAAGTTGTTAAGTACTAAACATCATCTCACTCTGTCACATAACTCTGATTGTTTCAGAAAAATGGGAAGCACCTGACATTTACCTTCTCTAGTTCCAGCACTGGAATCACAGAAATGCAATTAGGAAAACTCGGGTACTCATAACAGAAAAGGTCAGCAATGAGCAAGCTAAACCTTATAACATGCCTAATGTGCTGCCAAACATAACAGAATGCCTCCTTGATAATGAATGAATTTACAGACTGCCAGGAAGTTGATGTAAGATAATCAGATCAACAGGAGACACGCCACTGTGCAAGACTGGGAACGGTGAAATATTCTTTCATAGAATTCTATTGCAGAGTCACCACTGATGAAAAAAGATCCCCCATTATGAAAGGCCATATTTTCAGAAATAATGACATAAATAAATCGGGCAGAAAACACAAATGACAGAAGTTTCAACATATGGTAAGTGTGGAAGCCGTTACCTCATCAAAGGCAGAGCACTTTGTGCCTGCAGCCAACCACCACCACACCACTGCCTCTGGGATGCAAAAGAGATTTTTTCTTTTCCTCTTATTGTAGCAGACAATGTAAATAGAGGTTAGAGGGTTTAGTTTTGCTGTTTGTCTTTAACACAGAAATACTCACGCAGCAGTACAGGCTCTGTGTTCCTCATGCATAGATCTCCTCCTTATTTGGGTCACTAATCCTACATAAACTAATGGTGAACTTTAAGAAAAATGAAAAGTAGCCTAAGCATTTATTTTGATAAATGATGTTCATCAACAGTGCCAATAAATATCTCATTACTGAAAGTAGCACTTACTAGAAATTTTATGCCAAATACCTAGAGGCAGGTAAACTTGTAATGAAAAATGTTTCTGATACCTTCAACCACCAAGGAAATGTACTTGCTGTAGCTGAGTTGATTGTGAGCAAATAAAATCTACATAATTCTCTTTTCTATTTAAAGACTAAAATTTGCATTATATTTTTTCGTTTTATTTTGTCATAGTTATAAGGAATTGCACTTAAAAATAATAGAAAAAAGTACCATCATGAACTAAAGTGGAGGTTCTGCCTCTATATTCTCTTATATTAAAATTCAAATTATGGAAATTATAACCTTCCAGGAACTACCTGTTATAAGAGAATATCATGTTTTGAGACTGATAGATCTGAATTGCCAGGCCGCATTAAAGGCAAATGCTAATTTTATATTATAGTTTCCCCTACAGCTGAGCTACACCAATCTATTTCATGGTCAATATAGAAAGCAGATAGTTTTTTCACATGGCACATATTGTTTCCTAATTTATTAGGGAAAAAAAAAAACAATTGTAATTTAATGTGAACTTTCCTATTTTTCCATTTTATTGGAAGTAGTATAATGCATTTAGGACATGACACAGTTTTGAGGTCTGACTGTAATGATGGGCCAGGTGATATCAGCTAACTTGTATGAGCTGAATTTTCTCAGTACCAGGCTGTAACTTGTATGAAGTATCTGATGTCCTGTCTTTGGCGGTCTATAAAAAGCTAAGCAGAAAACCTCAAGCAAACATCTGTCTGTTATTTCTCTTCATATAACCTTTTGTAACCAGCTTTATCTGAACAGCTGGGCCTGAGGCAAGTATTTATGAAACAGTACCCACACACTGCAAAACATTTTTACAGGTGCATACTTAGCAAAAAGTTCACAGCAGAAGTGAATACATTTTGTTTAAAGTGTAAGAAGAGAGGCATGCCAATAAAAGAAAGACAGCACACTCCCCACAGCTAGACAACAGCATCAATAAAAGTGCAATTACACTTCCAAATTTTCTAGCTATTCTTTCCATAATGACCATAAGAACCTGATTGTATCAGCTGGAAATGTGAAATATGCATAGAATGCACCAAGGAGAGCACACTCACCATGTACTATCAGGACATATTCTGTGCTGTTTCGGCCAATGGGATTTTTTGCTTCACATCGATATGTGCCATTGTCTGTTTTGTTTAGGAAGCTGATGCTTAGAACCCTGCCATTGACAACCATTCTCTCTGGATCTGGGAGTTCTCCACCGTCCTTTGTCCACAATACTGGTTCTGGCCTGTTGGATCAAAGTGTGGCATTTATTTAGACACATGAAACATGCATATGCAACATGTACATCAGAAACAGCACATCAGCAACTTATAAATAGACACCTACCACCCCAGAAACATTTGAATTACTGGATTTAATGAACTGTCACAACCTTACCATCCTGGATGTGAGCTGCTAAAGAAAGTGAAAGAACAAGCAGAGAAATAAGAAAGAAGATAACTAAAAAAGAAAGCAGAATGGTAGTGCAACAGGCTAAGATCTTTCCTAAATTAAAAAAATGGTTCCTGTGAGGTTTCAGGGCCAGCAGGTGCTTGCAAGGTAAGTGCAAATAGGATGATGTGGGTGTAACTGGTTTGTAAATGGATTCTTAAACTACTTAGGCCATTCATATTCATAAGTGAACTTGAATGCACTGAGTATTTTTCCTGAACCAGGCATATCAGTCCCAAAGTAGCACGTGTTACACACAACCTAAACTTGTTTCTCTTGCTGCATTGTGTCACAGCCCATCCCTTTCCCCACCTTTTCTTCATCCTTCCCTTAAATAAATAATTACTTGTTTCACATGTTATCACAAGCAATGCAAGATTTAACTTGAAATCCTGGATTTTCTTCTCTTGTGAAACCGTTCCTGTTTTGTCTGATGCACTCACATCAAACAGGCCAAAGGCAATGCCCTGGCAGTGATGAACCCCTCGGCAAGGCAAGGGCACCACAGAGAAGGGAACTTGCAGTCCTGAAGGTTCACAGACATCTTCCCTCTGGCAAGGCATACATAACTCCTTTCTAGAGACCCTCAAGAAGCTCCACAGTCCATGAGATCTGCCTAGCAGACAGCAGGATGTATTTATTACTGGCATGCAGCCTTTACTTGCACGGAACAAGGTATACTTTCAAATTTACATGAGGGAAATCAGCAAGAAGACTGGATTGTAACTGGGAATCAAAGGTTGGTTTACTGAATCCTGTCTATGTAATGAGCAGACAGAGCATCTGAGGCCCTTTTACACCAGTCACTTCAGCAGGATATTCACAGCCTGGGGATTCAATGCTACCTTGCTTGTAGCTTTGTGCAGCATAAGCCACATATCAATCTCTATCCAAACATGCCAGTTGTGTGATTCAGTAATAAACCAAAATATAATACACTGCTATAAAATTAGCAATTGCCAGGTTAGTCACTAGTTGCACTCCAGAAACACTTAATTTCACTAATTTGAAGCAGATGTTTAAAGCCCATTAGATATAATAAGTGCTAAGAAAAAGAATTAAACCTAAATAATTAAGGAGAAGCATTTAGCCAAAATGTGGCCTCATAAAAAGAAAAATAGTTCTAATGGCTGTAATGACATGATTTTGAGTTAGTGAATACATGTAAACAGAGAGAATTTTTCTGAAATGAACTTCTATAAAATTCAAATTAGTCTTTAAAGAAAATACTCATTCTGAAGTATAAAAAATTTACGCACATTTTAGTACTATTTTGGATGACACCCCGTTAAAATGTTGTTGAACTTAGTACTTGGACTGGCTATTCTCCAAAGTTTTGATTTTTCCCAGAAAATCATATGCTCAGAGAATAAAAGCAAGGATTAAGAACTGATGGTGCGACAGGCCTTATTTATGCCTTACCATAAATTTGTCTTAATCCTCTTCCTAAGCTCATTTTTATGAACTGGTATCCATGCACATGTGGTGCACAATGTACACACTTTCTTTCTGTTCAATGCAAGCGGGGAATCCAGATGTCCATGTTGGTATAGAAACATTGCCCTGCAGAGTTCCCAGCATTAAGGTGTGATTTGCTGTGATATGTTAAGGTGGATTTGTTCAATTTTCTGGCCAACTCCGCATTGTTTCTCATTTACCAGCTTACTGTGGATCTGCAATCCCAGGAGTGGGGACTCTGAAACACTTCAGCTACAATGTGCACCATTACCTGCATAAATGGTGTGTTAAAGCAACTTCTGTGCAGTGGTAATTTATGGAACTTAGGTTTTAAATTGAAACTAGATGGCATATCCTAGGGGAAAACCTATAGGATAACAAATAAGTATGAAATGGAGCTGTAGATATAAATTATTCAGGGAGCTCTGTCACATTGTAATACACCGACTCTAGTCTTACACAGAACACTTAGCTGTGGTTGCAAAATGATGTGTGGCACAAAAGCCAGGGCTTAGAGAGAGGAGATCTGCATTCTCTGAGTGTTGGGGAAGTTGCTAATCAAGAGTGAATGTTCAGCCATCCCGTGCTGTATTTGTGGCAGCAGCAGAGCAATTCCTGGGGAGCAGGCCCATAGCCAGCACATCCTGGTGGCCAGGCACAGCTTTCCCTCCACCTCACCACTCCTTAAAAGAGCAATTCTGTCACAGCCACAGAATTTAATTCTGCCTGCATTGCTGGGAAGCTTTGAGACACTTGGTCTACACAATTCACTGGTTAGGCAGATGTGAGCTAAGAACGTGAGACGTGCTCGTGCACCCAGACCATCACGCTGCCGTGGTCAGCAGCAGCAGCAGGATGCTGTCTAAGGGAAGCATGGGAGTACATCCATTTTCTGCTGTCCATTCCTCCTCCACTCTGCCAGCAATAGCAACCATCCCCTGTCAGGGGTGCTGCAGGCACCCATCTTTTGTCCTTTTTTGTGACCACTTATTATTTAGACCTGTGACTATGAATGTCTCTAATATATTTTGGAATCTGCTTATGATGTCCATCACCTATACCTACTGTAGCAACTAATTCTGGTAGTTCCCTGCCATGCAAAATGGTATTTGCTTTTATCTGTCTTTCACTGATCTCCTAGAAGTGGCAATGAATATTGCAGGACATGGTAAGTAACACTATTATAACCTTGTTGAAAGTCATGATAGCCTAGTTCTTAGCAGGCCTGCCACTCCCCATTTTTATTTTTTTTTTTCAACCTTATCACTGTCTACAACTTCCTGAAGGGTGGTTTTAGTCAGGTAGGATTTGGTCTCTTTCTCCAGGCAGCAATTGACAGAACGAGAGGTCACAGTCTCAAGCTGCACCAAGGGAAGTATAGGTTAAATATTAGGAAAAAATTTTTCACACAAGGGGTGATAAAGTACTGGAAAGGCTGCCTGGGGAGGTGGTGGAGTGTGTTTAAACAAAGACTGGATGTGGCACTCAGTGCCAGGGTTTAGTTGAGGTGTTAGGGTTGGGTTGGACTCGATGATCTTGAAGGTCTCTTCCAGCTTGTAACTCTGTGATTCTCTGTTTGTTAGAATTTGATACCTTCTGAGATTATCAGCAGGGAAAAAAACTACACCAAAAAAGAGCAAAGGAATCTTAACTTTACAGCACATTGGGTATTCTTTTAGGATTGTCTGATTACCTTCATTGTCCAAAGCTGAAGCACTGGAACAGCTTTCCTTCTCTGTCACAAGGCACAGACAAGCGTGAACTCCCCACAGTTTATCCTACTGAAACCTGTCCACAGCTGCAGATCCAGACAGAGGTTCTTGCTCTTACCCAACATTTTGAAAGGGATACTTAGGTTTGACATGCTAAAACACCTGGCAAATATGTACACTCCTAATATTGTACATTTTCCTCTCCTGCATATGTTTCCAACACTGCAGAATGTAAGCTTTTTTTTTAATACTAATGAGTTGCCATAACACTGTCAATTCCTATTTGAACTGGAACAAAGAGGGATGTTTGTACAAACAGTACCTTCCATTTGTGCATTCGGTGAAATGCCTTTGAAAAAGGAACTGGTTTTTAGTATAGAAATCTGAGTTTGTTAACTGCCTTTATGTTAGCCTCAAAACCCAACATAGAATCAACAAAATATGGTATTCTTTTCCAGTCAGAATGAAATGGGATTGAAATGAAGGTATAAGACACTGGTGTGGAGTTCCACAATGATTCATATTTTATATTGTGGTGCTTTTCTTACAAGTAACTGAACAAAGAAATGGTAAATACAGCAAAACTATTTTCTGGCCTTGAGAGTAGAAAACCTTTTATTTCAAAACACGTCAGAGAGAAACTGAAATATGTTGGAAAAAATAAATTAGAAACCACATGTGATTAGAAAAAAAGACCTAGTCACTGCCTTACCTTTCCAACAAGTGTTTACATAATATGAAAGTCAACAATTATATTTGTCTACTTTTTTTTTTTTTTTTTTTTTTTTTTTTTTTTTTTTTGCTGAGGCCTTTGAAATTACACAGGAGTATTTTAAGACAAGATTGGCAATTTTCTGTCCCTTTCTCCACCCTTAACTCAAGGACAGTGACTGAGTGCTTTCTTATAATCCTCCTCTCTAGTGATATCTTTGTATATAACTATAATAGCTAACTTAACCTCCATTTAAAAATTATACATATATCTATATGTTTTATATCTATATATATATATGTGTTTTCTTTTTGAACAAAGTGAATTTAGGCAATGCAATCCATTTTCACTTTAAACTTGTTGACTCTATGCAGTTTTGTTGCCCTTCTCTAATTTTTGTGCACAGAAAGGTCATGTACAAAGCATTCTTCATTGAGTCCTTAACAAACAATGCTTGGACAACTTACTGACCCATTATAATAGCACAGGATAACCTTTTCATTTCCATAAGATCACACTCAAAAACCCAAAAAAATAAAATCAACAAACCCTGACCCACTAAAACAACAACAAAAAACCCCAAGGCCACATTTTTACATGTGCAGTCTCACTGGGGATATTCTCATCCAACTGGGTATCTAAGCATTCTGTCAATAATTTGTAGTCAATGTGGGTAAAAATAAAGATAGAAGATGAATTTGAGAAACACTAAAAAGATAAAAATAAATTCATTATTTTGAGTAGAGCCCTCTCCAAGAATATCTTTTAGTTCTCCAAACAAGGGCACACTTGTATTCACTGAAGTCCATAAAAACATAATCTAGTGGAAATGATCAAATGAATAATGATAAAGGTAACACAAGATTTATCAGAATGTTTCTTGTTGAAAACCTGGTGCAATGTTAAAAGGCA